TGTGTGTGTGTGTGTGTGTGTGGGTGAGTGTGTGGGCGGGTGGGCGTGTGCGTGTGTGTGTGTGTGTGTGTGGGTGTGTGGGTGGGTGGGTGTGTGCGCGCGTGTGGATGAACGTACCGACCAGCTCAGGGCGGAACCTTGAGCTGCTGCAGGCAACAGGCTGCAGTCCAGCCCCTATTGGGATCTCTAGCTATGGTGACAGCCGGCAAGTAACCTCTCCCCTCTGCAGACCACTACTCATCCGACACATCAGCACCCAGCATGTCCTGCATGTGTAGCTCCTACTCTGACCCACGCTGCTCCCCAGAAGCCTGGCGGTCTCACAGCATGCAAAGCACAATGTGCCCAGTCCTGGCCAAGCACGCCAAAACATTGTCTGGGCCTAAGTCCTAGTCCTGGTCAAGCCGTCATGGACCATCTAGTCCTGGCCAAGTACCCCAAAGTATCCTCAGCTTGTGAAAAAACGGAAATAAGGGCAAGTGGAGTCCAAACTGCCCCTAGGTCCAAAATGAGGCTTCGTGCCCGGATCCCTCAGCTTGGTGTGACCAGGTCCCCAACATGCCACACAATCATCATTCATCCTCCATTTCATTTCATCAAGGACTTCAACAATATTTTTTTTTAAGTTATCTCACGTATACTGAAAGTAAAACCTTGCCCGTGTTTGCCTGCCTGGTCGACTGGCGAGTGTGGCACACACCCATCAGCAGTATGCACGCGTGCGCTTGTGTGGTTTCTTCTATTCCCTTGAAGATGCTCATGCATTGCCAAAGGCGGTCAACAAATGGATACAGGGTGTGTAGTGCTATCCAAGGCAAACCAGTCATCTACATTTAAACTGGAAAGATATTCACATTGCAATTATAAATCAACTTGGTGCAAACTTCGATTTGGTTTATTTACCAACTTCTGAGTACTTTCAGTGCGTTCAATAAGACCATGTTTTTACACAGGACGCCTTGTGGAGCCATGCTGCTTATCGTGTTGATTTTCAAATTCTCAGGCCTCTGATAAAAATTCATTACAATTTACAATGTCGTAACGTACATAAAAATTCATTACAATTTACAATGTCGTAACGTACACAGTTTATTGTTTATTATAAGCAGTTGTTCAACCACCTTTGGCACACAAATGAAATCTTATGACATAATAACAATGTAAAAACCAGTGAAGTCACAGAACAGCCCAACTTACCAGCTCTATAGTTCTTGTGGTCAAGAGTGGCCTCTGTGGATAAACCAGAAGGTAGAGTAGTGTGTCCATCCGGTATAGCTGCTTATACGAAGCAAAAACGACCACATTACAAAGGTTCAGAGATGAAATGTGAGGACGGAAATATGATCCACTGCAAGCTGCACAAATGAAATTTCAGGGTAATCGCTGATGTGCCCATAGTATCAAACAAAGCTCATAGAGCCTGATACAGATATAAACTTGTGCTTGTTAGTATACAAGTCAAGAGCTCAACTCCCCTCAAACCTAAAGAATTATGCCTTATTGCTCCTCATGATGCACCTCATCTGTTTTTACCAATTTCTGAGCCCAAAGACTGGTAAACTGACGCACTGACAAACCATCAATTCAAGCACCTGCCCAAGTCCCTAGGTTTAGAGGTACAACCAAAAGCTAAGCAGGCAAACGACATTGGAATAGTCAATCAAACCCAAAAAAGAACACTGTGCGAGTCATTCACTGACAACCTTCTCACATCGCCACTGGCGTGATAACTTCATAGCATACAGTGGTACATTCGGCAGGCTACTCATTTCAATCAAATCCCCCATTGGTGAAACAGGCATTGCAGGGCCCTATGGCTCGACTTCGGAAAAAGGGTGTATAACATTGGTGGAGCTAAGCAAGAGGGCAGTGTAAATCGAGTTAAATGACTGGAAGGTTGGACCTAGGCTTGCAGCACCCCCCCGAAAGAGCACCCGGCAGGAAAGTTCTGCAGCGCTTCAAGGCATATCCTTGCTGGGCATGCATGTTTTTGCCCAATAACAGCCATGCGCAGAAAAGTAGTCATCTGCACTTCCAGCAACCAATAAGCTTGGGAAGCTACTGGGAAGCGAGGTATCCTTGCTGGGCATGCATGTTTTTGCCCAATAACAGCCATGCGCAGAAATGTAGTCATCTGCACTTCCAGCAACCAATAAGCTTGGGAAGCTACTGGGAAGCGGGGGATGGATGAACCAACAGACAAGCAGATGGAAGAATGGATGTGGAGGGATGCGGACGGATGGATGGATGTAGAGGGATGAATGGATGTGGATGGGTGTCGATGGATGGATGCATGTGGACGGATGTGGGTGGATGGATATATGCGGACTAACGTGGATGGATGGATGTGGACGAATGTGGATGGATGGATGGATGTGGATGTATGGAAGGATGTGGATGGATGGATGGATGTGGATGGATGTGTATGAACGTTGTGTGGATGTGAATGTATGTGGATGATGAAGGGATGTGGACGGACGGATGGATGGATGAGGACGGGCGTGGACGGATGGATGGATGTGGACAGACGTGGACGGATGGATGGATGTGGATGGGTGAACGGACGTGGATGGACGGATGAATGGATGGATGGATGGATGAATGGATGGATGGATGAATGGATGCCGACGGATGTGGATGGATGAATGGGTGTGTGCATATGTGGATGAACGGTGGCGGATGTGAATGGACGGACGGATGTGGATCGATGTGGTTGGATGTGGATGGATGTGGATTGATGTGGATGGATGTGAAGGGAGTGGACGGATGTGGATGGATGGATGGACGGACGAGAATGGATGTGGATGGATGTGAATGGGTGTGGATGGATGTGGATGGATGTGGATGGATGTGGATGGATGGATGTGGACGGATGGACATGGACAGATATATGCAGATGGGCGTGGACGACTGCGGATGGACGAATGGATAGCTGCAGATGGGCGAATAGATAGTGGTGGATGGATGTGCATCGATGTGAATGGATGTGGAGGGAGGGATGGATATGGACTGACTGATGAACAGATGAATAAATGGACGGATGGAAAGACAGAGGGATAGCTCGACGGATGGGTGGATGGAAGGATGATTAGATGGAGGAGAGGGAGGCAGAGGGGAAGGGAGGGGCGGGAAAGAGAGGCATAGAGATAGACGGGTGGATGGCCAAAAAGCACAGATGAAATCATCGTACAGCTGCATGCTACACAGAGGAAGGTTCACCATATTCAATTGCAGTCGTGGCTACCAAAGCTGAAGCTTCACCACATTCAATGGCAGTCGTAGCTACCAAGTTGCAGTGAGATAAAACAAGCTGATCTGACAAGTCCTGAGAATATGTCCCAGCTGCGGTTCTGAGGGTGTGATCAGGCGAGCCTTCTTGGGAGGCAGAAGCTCCTGCAGAGAGGAGATTTGATACGTTTCAGAAGTAGGCACTTTGTAAGTCGACTGTTCCATGAACTTCCACCTTTAAAAGACTTGTCTCCCACCAGACAGTTGCAGCGACTTAGAGCTTTGGAAAATAGCAATCGGCCAAGACGTCCTATGCAGAAGATTAGCATGGCCCCTGCGCAAGTATTGACACATTAGTGACAAATGGTCCAACTTTTTTGTAATAAAAAAAAAAGGAACTTGGCCAAGGTGATTAGGATCCGTGCAGCTGTTCAAAGAACTCTGAGGGCCTCACCTGATTATAGGCAATGTTACCCATCGCTTGCTTGCCCATAGCACACTGCACACCACAAGATTGAGAAAAAAATCGGATCTCAGCCACATGCTTAACAACAACCAAGTGCGCGCCCAATTTAAGACGGCGAGAAAAAACAGAGTAAAAGCACAGCAAGTTGCAAAAGTGCAAATTCACATCACCATCGTGCCTTGCTGTAGCAGTAGATCGGAAGCGAAATTCGGAAAAAAAAAAAAAAAAAAAAAAAAAAAAAAAAAAAAAAAAAAAAAAAAAAAAAAAAAAAAAGCTTGGTTTCATGCACCTGTTTGACGGAGATCGACTGAGAAACAAAACTTAAACAAAGCACCGGATAGTATCAAAAACTTTAAAAGTACGCAACAAGATGGTGCTCATGTATGTCAAGGGCAAGCAAAAGAAAAGGCAAAGAGGGCAAAAAGTTGCCAAAAACCCGGATGTTGACGTTTTGTATGTTGTAAGTGTATTCAACAACGAATCCTTGCTCCAGGAAGTTTGTGAGGTCCCTCAAGGAATGCTTGTTTTCTAAGGAACATGCTGGACACTGAACAGCCAAAGTGTTTTCCAAACATGAGTGTCAGTGAATTTTTGTGTCCTTGAGGAGCATGTTTTTCAAACATTGCTCATTACTGAGGCGAAATGCACACCCGGCTTCTCAAGCCCTGAGCTTGCACCACACAAAAGCAAGCCTTTTTTTCATGCCTTCTTTCTCAACCTCCGAGACAGGGGCAAAAACAGGGTGCACATTCACACAACACGACATGCACAAGGTCACTCGTAAAGAGCAGAACCCGCAATGCGGGATGTCCAATAGGAAATAGTAGCGTCATACACATCCCATCCCGTTTGCCGAAGGTCAAGCGGACCATGCAACGAGTCATGTAGTTAAACACAACACATTCAAACAAGGATACATGATGTACATGACAGAAATATGCATCAGGTTGCGGTAAGACAACGATGCTGTGATGCCAATGGGGGGAATCACAAACCTGATACGTGTTGCGAGGTGACTGGTTGTGGTGGGGGTAAGGAATGAGGCCGGCGCAGACTCCTAATATGGTGAACGGTTCAATTTCGATGTGTGTATTTGCAGATGTTGCGTCTTGTTCATAAAGAGCAATCTGCATTAGCAGCAAAACAGGATCACCAAGAAAAAACAGGGCAACTAGTGAATAGGATTGTTTAGGCAGGTTTTTCCTTCAAGAACAGATTTCATTGGTGTAGGGAAGACTCGCACAAGGCAATTTCCTCCATGTAAACGACCGTGCTAAAGTCTAAATTCAGTCCAAGAAGCCAGTACGCCCATGGATGAACAAGTTAAACTGCACAGTTGGCACCATGAGAATAGTCGAGCAGACTGGTATCATGCAGCATGGGTATTCAGATTTCTTTTCCTTTTTCTTTTTTGACCTGAATGTCAAACTTTGCATATTGTTATGGTAAAGCATTTGTCGCTTCATTAGGCATTGTTTTGACATAAGCCATTTAATGACCAGTGCATTTAAGCTTCTCTATGGTTTTCAAACCCACCTTCTCGAGTCACATGCCAAGCAGACAAGCTCTCTCTCTCTCTCTCTCTCTCTCTCTCTCTCTCTCTCTCTCTCTCTCTCTCTCTCTCTCTCTCTCTCTCTCTC